AGTAGATGGAATTTTTGGAATTGTTTTTATCTATGCTTGTTGTGAAAACTATTATGTCTGGTATTTTAATGTGGTTTTTTGATTAAGGAATGATATTCCTTAGTCCTAATTTCTTTTTAGGGCATAATAAATGGACCATTATTTAAAGACAAAATAATTTATAGAGATTGATATTAATAATCTTTTAATTGATCATAGGCTTCAACCTATAATTTGGACTTACAATATAACTGATAAAGATAAAATTTAAAGAGTGCATCTATTGAAGGGATCTTATCAACCTAAAAGTCATTAATTCTCCCAAATATTATTTGTAAATATTGCACACATATTTAATCTAAAATGGTTTGATGAATATACTGACTGGTTAGAGTACAATGTGTAGAAAGATGTTATTTTTTATCTTTATTGCTTCCTATTTAAACCACACGAGCAAATTATTAAAGGCCAAAGTGGTGGAGATTCATTTATTGGGGAAGGGTTAAAAAATTGGAAGAAAAAAAAAAAAAAACTATTAAGTCACATTGGAGAGTATGATATTGTACATAATAAGGGCTATAAAGAAATGTGAAGATTTAATGAAAAAATAAAAAAACACAATCTTTATATATTATGGTTGAGCAAAAATGAGAGGAACCAAAAAATGTTATTGAATCATGTTGACTACAATAATGGATTGTGTTCGATTTCTCTTACGATAATGATTATCATTCCATGGGCATGATGAGTTATCTGAATCAGATAATCAAAAAAATTATTTACATTTATTCGATTTCCTTGCTAATCATAATGAATAAATCAAGACAGTTATATATATATATATATATATATATAAACTTACCTAAATTTTAAACTAAATCCCCAAACAAATCATGCCTTCATGCACCCCCAAGCCACGACAATTTTCTCTCAACCACCTCGACCTCTAGCCCACCTAAAAAAGAGGAATGGTAATACTTAATAATCTTATATATATATATATATACAAGCTAAAATTAAAGCTAACTTCACCAAAAGTTCAGAAATAAATTTGTTTTGTCATAGCTGTTGAAACCTTAATATCTATTATGAAAAATATTGGTGACTCATACTTCTTAATTATTATTGATGAATCATGCGATGTTTCTATAATAGAACAACTAGCTATTGTAGTGAGATTTATATAGATAAGTTAGGGCAAATTATTTAAAGATTTATATGCATTAAACATGTTGCATTAATAACCGTAGTTATGCTAAAGACAACTATTGAAAATACACTTACAAACACTCATTGTGCATATATAGGATACATGTTCAAGGATATGATGGGGCCTCTAACATGCAAGGGGAGTTTCAAGGTTTGAAAATATTAATACTTAATAATAATCCTCATGCATTATATATTCATTATTCTATTCATCAGTACCATCTATACTTAATGGCTAAAGCAAAAAATCATTGGAATGTGAAGTATCTTTTTAAGATAACTTCCAGAATTATCAATACTGTTGGAGCTTCATATAAGATAATACTTTTAGAGCTATTCAACATCACAAAAAAAAATTTCATCCAACTAAAGGGAAGCTGAACAGTGATCGAGATTTGAACCAAGATAATAGTTTAAAATGAGCTTATGATACCGGTTGGGTTCACATTTTCATATATTAATTAATTTGATAAAAAATGTATGATTCAGCAATAAAAATGCTTGAAATTATAAAGGAAGATGGGGTACATGAATAATAACATGTTGATGTTATGATAGATGTTATAAAATCTTTCAATTTTATCCTTGCAATACTTTTAAATGATTGGAATCTTAGGTGTTACAAATGAATTTTCATAAGTCTTACATAAAAAAGATCAAGATATCATGAATGTAATAAAATTTGTGCAAGTCTTCAAATAATAGTTACAAATGATAAGGAAGAATTGATGAGATTCTTTATTAGATAAAATATAACATTTTTTGCAGTATTTTTGAAGTTGATGTTTTTAGTATGAGTACTACATTCAAGGCTCTTTGATGATCAGGACACATAAATGATGAAACAATATATTTGAATCATTGTAGTGTGGTTTTTCTTATACAGTTATTATTGTGCAACTTTAAAAGATGAATAATAGATTCTCTATATCCAAGTAACTCATTTTATGCGTATGATAAAGAGAAATTAATTTGACTTGCAGAGTTATATTCAACATATTTTTTTGTAGTTTAACTTGTGGCTTTAGAGCAACAACTATCCACATACATTCTCAATATACATACAAACGAGGAGTTTTCATCTCTGAATAACGTTAATGGTTTTGCAAAATAATTTATTAAGGTTGAGAAAGATTTTGCATATCCCTTAGTTTACAGGTTTATTATCTTGACATTAATTTTGTTAGTTGACATTGCTACAATATAGAAAATATTTTTTACAATAAAATTTATTAAACATCAATTATGTAGTAAAATACGTGATGACTGGCTTAGCGATTGTATAGTTCCACATATTGAGAAAGAAGTATTTGACATGATTGCAAATGAAGTTGTAATGCAATATTACCAGAAAATGCAAAAATAGAATCCATAAAATGCAAATAAAATGAAAATCTTGTAATTTTATTATTTAAAATTTATAATGCAATATAAAAATTTATTTTAAATTTTTTCTTATATACATATATTTATTTTTTATAAGTTGCCCTCTTAAGAATTAAGGCTGGTTCCGCCAATGCACGTGCGCGTGCACACACAAACACATATATTAGGTTAGATTAATATTTGAAACACAATGACTTCATTTTCTAATCTATCCTATGATGCTCATATGAAATATTTTTAAAAATTCAAAACGTAAAAATGAACTAATAACTATTATCACTTTTTAGTTCCTAACAATTTCCAACTCATTTTACTTTATTATTTTCAAAGTCTTGAATGTGAAACTTTTTCTAACTCTTTTTTGCGAGTAAGCAAGACGAATCTAAGCCTTTTCTCTTATTTTGAACAAAAACAAGATTTATTATAACACTTCTCAAGGTTCCCTTAGCATCAATCATTATATTGTAGTTTTTTCTTAAAGTCACTCCCATTTTTCAGAGTTAGATCACTATTGTGCTAATTCTTTATATATAATAAAAATTTAGGGGTTGTTTGGTTTGATGCATTTAGAGTGTAAAGTAATACAAATGCAAGTGTTTTAAAAATTTTAGTGTTTGGCTTGAAGTAAAGTTAAATTGGTGTAAAAGAAGTGGATTCCAAATACCTCACATAGTGCATTTGCGGTGTATTCCAAACCTGCTCAAATCGGGCAAGTTCTGACTATCGAGTACGAAAGATTGAAATGTTGGAATGATGTGCTAATGAGACTCATCTTCTCTTGCAAAACCTAGCATTCTTTATCCTTCTATCTTTCGAAATACATGGAAACGAAATCCCTCCTGGTTGCTCATCCTCATGTAATCTAGCTCTCATGAAATATCTCGTCCTCGTTATTCTTCCTCATGAAATTCAATCTTCAGGAGTGCGTGCTTTCTCTTTCGCAAAATTCAGTCTGCAGGTGGTCACCAAGTCAGCGGGTAGAGGGGATTTGCGGATCCTCTAAGGAGTCATCGGGCATTTCTATCCGATTCATGTTTATCTGCTTTGTTCTTATTTCACTAATCTGATTCTTTTAATGAATGATCATTCAATTTCCTCACTGTAATGTTTGATTTGTCTTTATTTCTTTTAATCAAGATTGTCTGATTTCCTTGAGAGTTTTTTTTTTTTTTTTTTTTTTTTTTTTAATTTTTTTTTTTTATTTTTTTTATAAATTTTGTTGTGGATTTTATCTATTTCTTTGGGGAGGAAGGCGATTTGATTTGAACTATCTAGGTTATTCTTTTTACATTTGTGATAAGCCGGGTTTGGTATGATATGTATGATGCTCATTGAATGGTAATGTTGAATACTACATTTCATACCAAACAACACAAAAATATTCAAAACACACTGCTTTTACTTTACATTGCATATATCACATCAAATAACAAAACAGTTCCCTTGCATTTACTTTAAGACAACTAAATTGCTCCAAAATATTATAAATACACTACATTTACTTTACACTACATTTCTTTTTCAGGCAATCAAATATCCCCTTATATTATGCTCCATAAGTTTCCCTATTAAAATTTTTCACATAAAAAATTTTGTAATACTTTTTGTTTATTTGATTGCTTACATATTTAATATAAAAAAACTTTTAATTATAATAAAAGCTTAATCACAAATTATTAAACTCATATATATATATATATTTTTTCATTTCCTATCCTAGCAGCTTTCAAAAAATAAAAAAACAACAAATCTTTTTTGAAAGAAATAAATATCAAATATAAGTGCTGGCAGCCGCTCGGGGCAGCCTCGAAAGGCGAATAACTGCGGGCAGCTTCGGCGGGCGCGCGAGCAGGGGGCGGGCAGCTCTGCAGGCAGCTGGGCAAGGGGCGGGCAGACTAGGGCCGGTCTACGGGCAGCTGAGCAGCCATTTTAAACGGGTTTCCGGGTAAACCCGACAACCCGTTAGGTTAACCCGATTCCGATCTGTTTTTCAAACGGGTCGAATCTGAGAACCCGAATCTGACCCGTTTTCGAAACGGGTCGAGTCTAATTCAAAATTTTCGGGTCGGGTTCGGGACGGATTTTAGTGTTATGTCAAATATTGACAGCCCTAAATCAAACTTTATATCTCGACTTTTATTCGTGCATATACAACACACTTTAATTTATTACTTGAAATTTTAGATTTTTTTTAAGTTTTGAATTTGTAATTTTGTATAAACAATATTTATAAATTTAAAATTAATCACTCAAAGTAATTTTTTTTTGGGGAAATAATTTTTTTTTTTACTTGTATGCTTTCAGACCGTACATTTGGCTGAAATCCGAAGGTTCTGGAATTTGGCCGTCTGGGACCATCACGTGAGCTTACCCCGTTAATCTTCTCCGCTGCTTAGCAGATACAAAATACCGACCAGTAGGTCACAGAGCCGCGGCTAAGGGGCATCGCCTATAAAGTTCAACATCGTTCGTCTTAGTCGTTTCTTACAATAGATACGAAAGAAATCGGAGGGCAATGTCTTGCACTCATGATCACGACTGCGAAGACCACAACTGCGCTGCGGATTGGTCGCTTTACAAACATATAAACCTAGACCAGGTCTAGATTCTTCATCTCTTCTTCCTCCTTTCCTTTTTTTTATTTTGATTCTGACGTATGTTTGGTTGGGGATGAGTATTTTTGGATTCAGCTTTCTGATGGTCTACGTGCAAGTTCATATCATCTATGTCTATTCAGTTTTTGGTTGATTCAAGTGATTCATTTATAAGTGTATGTTTTGGTTCTCTAAAGATGGTCACATTGAAGCCATCTTCTGAGAATATGGTTTTCTATAAGATTGCGTTGTTATGTTCATTAAGATTTTGTGAAGGATATTTGGGGACGGTTTGGATACAAGTTGGATTTTATTAAGTTGGATAAAGTAAATATTGTCAATTCAAATGTAGTAAATTGTCTGCTATGATAACTGCTAAATCTGGTTAAATACTAGTAAATTGTTTGACGCTATTCTCAACATTTAGGATTTAAATGAAGCAGAAGAAGAGGAAAAATGAAGATAAGTTGTGTAAATTTTTTAAATTCTCTACCTTATGGATTTATTTAATCTGGGATATACGAAGGGAGTAAGATATAGATGGATTCAAAAATTGTTTGCTAAGGGCATCTCCAATCGAAAAAGTCTTTTTCCACTCCAAAATACAGTAAAATTCCAAAATGTAGTAACTTGCCTCCAACCGAACTTCATTTTATAACATAAGAAAAGAATATTCCTAGTATATTCTTTTTCATACTTTATTTTATATATTTTTAATCATATATTTATATTTATCAATTTTAAACCTATTATAATTTTAAAAAATATATAATTTTTTACTCGATAAAAAAAATTGGGATATTAATATGTCCTAAATAAGTAAATATATATTTAATAAAAGAAAAATTACATTAAAACACATAAATATGAATGAAAAAAATGCAAGTGAAATTAAACATTAGGATTAATATATTAATCCCATTAATAATCAATCAATGCATTTCGTAGTGCAATGTGGGCAACTTTATTTCTGATTTGTTTATGGCGAGCGATAAATTTTTGAAACTGAGTATTTTCATCAAACATCAATTCGACCTCTGGGGTTGGCGTTTCTCTTGCAACTTGAACTGGTCCAGTGAGATTACGTTTATCTTCGATTATCATGTTATGTAAAATTATGCATGTAGTCATTATATCATGCATCACATCTTTGCTCCAAAAATGAACAGATCAACCACAATTGCAAAACAAGATTGGAGAGCTCCAAAAGCACGTTCCGCATTTTTTCTACATGCTTTTTATTTTATTGCAAAATATTGTTTCTTTGGAGTATGTGGTTCATGAATAGTTTGCATAATGGTGGCCTATTTTGGATATATATTATCAGTCAAATAATAACCCATATTTTATTCTTTTCTTTGAATGACATAACGACGGGGAGGAGCTATACCTTGAGTGATATTGGAGAATAGGTGGGAAGATTCCAACACGTTTATATCATTATTAGTGCTTGACAAACAAAAGTAAGCATGCCATATCTAAAGATCATAATTTGTCATGACTTCTAGAATAATTGTAAGTGATTCAGTATGTCCCGCGTATTGCCCAGCCCACCCGGTAGGACAATTTTTTCACTTCCAATGCATATAATTTAAACTGTCAAACATCTTTGAAAAACCACGTTGTTCATTAATCTGAAGGAGTCTAGCCACATTATTGTTTGTTGGTGATCTTAAATATTGCTTTGAAAATATCTGGACTACTGCTCTACAAAAACCCCATCACTCATTCGATTGTTGTTGATTCGCCTATTCTAATATATTCGTGTGTGGCATCTGCGGGTAATCCATATGCTAACATTCGAAGGATGACTGTTACTTTTTGGAGAGGTGATAAACCAAGCCTATCGGCGTGATCCATTCGTTGTTGGAAATAGCTATCATGTGCTTTTACTACATCAAGTACGCGCAAGAAAAATGTTCAGGACATTCGATATTTTTGTCGGAACATTGTATCATTATATATTGGATTACTTGAGAAGTAATCTTGGTAGAGTCGACGATCCGTAGCCTCCCGATCACGGTTGATGAAAGCGCGCCCTATAACTGAGCCTCTTGTAGAGACGTTGATGAGGACATCGGTAGGAGATTCCAGAATGTCTAACGCTGGAAGCATCGTAGATCGACGGCTATGATGAGGAGCTTATATATTTGATATTTTATGTATTAGTTCATATTTTCTTTATTTATGTTTGTACCATTGCTTGTTTGTTGAGTTGAGTTGTAGCCATATAAGCATTTTAGTCATTTCTCTTCTTTCTCTGTGAGGCCTATATATTAGGTCCTTGGTCTTGTATTTGGATGATAATGATTATGAATGAAAAATTTCACCCCCTTCCTATTTCCCCTTGGATGATGAAATCAATCATCATTAACACCTACCTAAAATAGCCTAATTGGTTTGGGAAAGATCTAAATAATTTTAAATTCAAAATTTGAATTTTAAATACTTTTTTAAACTAAAAAAACCTAAATTAGGAAAGTTTATAAATTGGGATCTAATTTAATTTTAAATTAAATTGGTCATTCCTATTTCATCCCTAATTAATAGGATTGCATTAGGAAATTATTAAACCCTTCCCAATCTCTCCCTTATTCTCTCTATGCTGCCGACCCTCTCCATGCTCCAAATTTTTGAATTCAAAGTTTGAATTCTAATTATTCCCTCCACCCTAATTTAATTCTCTTAATTGATTACCCTCCTTGGTAATTAATTTTAAAGAGAATTTAATAACCCTAATTCCCCTAACCCATATTTGAATTTGGATTTGAATTTCAAATTCTTTTCCCTCCTTATTTATAATTAAATCTGAAATTAATTTCAGATTTAATGCTCTTTCCATAACCCCAAACCTAGACCTCACAAACTCTAATTCCCTCCACACTTGGCTGGCTCACTTGCTTGCCCACCCTCTTGAAATTTCTCTCATCCCATGAGCTCTCTTGCAAGAAAAGAAGTCAAGCTTCTTCCCTCCGGACGTTGGTGGATCACCGGTCGTCTACACATAGCCCCTCCGCTAACTTTCGTTGGATCTCTACCCCGACTTCCTCTCCTTCGTGGTGACATCTTCCGGATTGTGGCGATTCTTCTTCCGTTAACCCTTAAAGAGTGTGAGTGAGGGAAACTCAAGGTGAATTCTCTCTTTGTTACGTGGTGGATTGTTTGTTTGTTGCACTACTTGTTTTCATTATAATCTTGATATTATATTGAGATCTTGTCTGCTATTGTGTGGTTACTTGCCATATCAATTTAAACAATTTTAAATTCGTAAAATATTTTCAAAGTGAAACATTAAGTTTAAGTTGCAACGCCTAATTCAATCTTTACAAATTTCTACGTGCAATTTTTATGTGGTTTCAAATCAGACGTGGTTAATAGGTTGTGTAAGTAGGTATTGAATCATCATATTGTTATTTGTTATGGCACGACGAATCATCATTTTTCTCTTATTGTAAACTATTTATCAGTTGGAGTGTGTCTTCTTTATTTGAGGAAGAAGATGAAAAACTATTATGCATATTAATATTGTGATGTTTATATCACTGGGAAATTCCTCTATTTGTAGGAGAAGTGCAATGTGATAGGAAATAATTGAGTTCGCAAGTAATCCTTACGGAAATACTTGAGTTCGCAAGTAACCCTAACAATAAATTGGTAAAAACGACGAGAAAGAACACAAGACGATAATGAAAGAAACCCAAAACAGTAAGTTTATTTAATTAGATTAATCCCATGCCTTAAATAAGATATTTTATTTAATTAAATAGGGGCCCACGTCCCTATGGCTTAGGCAGTTAGAGAGGAGGCGGTTTGAACCGCCTCCTGTAGCCTTGACCGACCCAGGTGGGGTCGGCTGGATAGGCGCCGACCTATCACAATGAGTGCTCACATCTTGTCAATGTTGCTTGAGATGTTTGAGAATCTTTAAGGATAAATTTAGTGAGTATTCATATTCGGTCAATGCAACTTGAGATGTGTGAGAATCTCTAAGGACAAATTCAGTGAGTAGTCATGTTTAGTCAATGCAACTTGAGATGTGTGAGAATCTTAAGGACAAATTCAATGAGTGGTCACATTCGATCAATGCAACTTGAGATGTGTGAGAATCTCTAAGAAAAAATTCAGTGAGTAGTCATGTCCGATCAATGCAACTTGAGATGTGTGAGAATCTCTAAGGACATTCCAATGAGTTATCAAATCTTGTCAATGCACCTTGAGAATTGTAAGAATCTTATAAGACAAATTACAAATTAAAAAGGCTGTCAATAATGCCAATATAATTATTATATAAATAGGGGTAAGGAGCATGTCATGTTACTAGTATTCTAAATCCATTAAGCCTCTAAAAATATGTCAATCCGATTAACTGCATATTCTAAGGGGCAAGATAAGCTCTTATGCAGAATTTATATGGAAATTTCTCAAGACCCAATCACAGATAAATATCAGTCATCGGATAATTTTTGGTCACGTGTCGAAGAAGCGTACAATAATTCTAAAATTCAAAGTTGGGAATTGCGTTCAAAAAGATCTGTTCAGTCTCGTATTCATACTATCGAGAAAGAAACAAGGAAGATGCATTCATGCATTTGGCTGGTCGAAAATATACATATTAGTGATGGTTCAAATGAAGATATTATGAGTATTTATATGTGCTATTAAAATTTGTCTTTTCCATTCCACAATTTATGTAATTGTAATTGTATATATTGATTTATATTTCGATCAAGCCAAACTATTGTTTGCGCAAGATGAGAAGTTCAAAGTTAGTTGGAAATTTGATCATGTGTAGAACATTATCAAAATTTTTGAGAAATTTCAAGATGGTCAATCTAGTACTAAACAAGCATCATGTATGTCAAGCTTTGGGTATGCCTCATCAGAGTCATAAAATCTAACCCATGAATTCGGTAAACAACAATCTCCTTAGATGATGAATAATATAATGTTCGTGGCTCTCAATCTGAATGACCGATTGGGGTGAAGAGAACAAATCTAAAAAGAA